ATTTTATTTTAAATAATTTAAAGTAGGTACTAAAAAGTATGAATTTTTAATTTTCTAACACCAAATGTATAATACTGAGTAGGTTCTTACATATTTTGAATATTTACAAAACAAATACAATTTGTATTGTTTAATGTATATTTTATTTATATTTTTATTGTAATTATTAAAATGTAGTAACCTACTCAGTATTATACATTCGGTTTTAGAAAATTAAAAAGGTATACTTTTTTGGTATTCCTTTATGTTTTAGTGTATTTTACACATTAAAATATCCCATAAATTATAGGTATTTTCCTGTCTGATTAATTTAGTGTGTTGTTTTTTAAATTTATTTTGACAGGATATTGTTACCTATATGACTTTATCGACCAATACGTTGGATTAATTATATTATATGACACACGCTCACACACACATACAGGAGATTGAATAAAATTATAAAGAGCTCCAAACAAAAAGTCGAATTATATTAAGTTTGACCAAATGTGACACTACACAAACTGACTCACAAAAAAAAACTAAAACGCCTAATTGGTCCTCTCTCATAACTCATGTTGATTTATGAGACACTATTTTGTTTTTCAGACCTAATTCATAATTCGATTGTTCAAAGTTTTTCTGAAATATATGCATATATAATATATAATACATAATAATATAAATAATTGGGTAAACATATTATTATAATGAATATGAAAATATAATACATTTGCATTTCAAGTCCAATCGTTGCCTAGTTTCTATATATCCATTCCCCAGCATGTATTTGAAATCGAAAAGGTTTCTGATAATATATAGACCAAGAGACGTAAATAGGGAGCTGGTCCACCACACCTGTCAACAGAATCCAAAGATTGATAGCCCCAACGTATGAAAAAAATATATATTTATATATGTATAAATAAATAAAAAGGGGGTTGTTTTTATTTTTACAACGAACAGAGATACAACCGGCATTCCCTAGACATACCTACCTTTATACAGTAATTGCAACAAGATTTATTCTCAAAACGTTTCGTTTTGAATATACATTTAACGTGATGTAATTTTTTCAATTTGAAATCGTGGAAACCATAAACAATATATTATTATGGTGCTATACCCTGGTCACCATTGTGGTTTTAAACACCCTTCCGTAGCATACCATTCTGAATAAAATAATTCAACATGATATCATTAAAACCACAACAACGTTTTAATAGCGTTATTCAATTCCCTACGAAATTTCATGGGAATTCTACCGACCGCAACAGTTTCCAAATGTTTGCTATGCATACACAGCAACCTTTAGAACACACTATATACACATACCTATGACATATATAGTGTATTACACATATACGATAATATTATTATGTACATACAATTAATGTATATCCTTCAAAGTTTACATTCAATGACATACATAAAATAAGTTGAGGCACATGCGTAAGTACCTACCTAGACATTCGTTGCGTTATGGAAACACATGCAATGAACCAAAGTTGTAAGAGCTGAATAATACAAAGAATATCGACTGAAATTTCTTCTAAGTTCTACCTATGTTTAACTTTTCGGTAAATCCATAATCGTTTTAATCATCTATATAATTTATGAAATGTACTCTTACGTACATATCTACCCATTATTTTACATTGAAATATTTAAAGATTCATTTTTGAAAATAATGATAAATTATAAAATTAATATTATACAAAGAATGCAACGTGTTTTGTGTATCTCAGATAATATAAAAAGCTGGCGTAATAAAATCATATAAAAATCAAAGAGAAGAAACAAAATAGTTTTAAGATAAAATCGTGACTGTAAAAACACTGATCAGTGTCTGAATTATTATGACTTGCACCAAAGTTTTGTATTTTTCTTCTATGTATCTACCCAGTTTTTAATACAGAATTTATCGCTTTGTAATTACACGTTTTTTTTTTTAAAAATAGTTTAGTATTTAAAAGTTAAAACTATTAACATTTCATTCAGTGAAAATTGAAAATATTTTAATAAACAACGTAATTTAGTTATGTCACTAGGGATTATTGTAATCTGATCGAAATTTATGTGGTAAAAAGAAAAGTGATAAAAAGTGTAATTTTTATTTATAATTGTATTAATAAAATACATTTACTAATTGTTTTTAAATGTATGTCTAAAACTGATTGATTAACTTTTAATTTTACGATAGTAAATTTGAATGTACTATTGGGAGAATAAAATGTCTCTTATAAATATATCTGATATAAGTAGTGCCAGTTGAGATGTAGGGCTGCCGAAGCACTCCCTAAAAACACAATAAAAAATGTATTATTTTATATTACTTATTAGTTTTCTATTAATAGTATTGTAAAACTATAGCAGTAGATATTATAAAAAAAAGTAATGAATAAAATAATACTTGTGCGGATTTTATAAGTGATTTTTAATTTATTCCAAGTTCATTGTATCAAACTATTATTATTGAAGAATTAATATAACATATTCAAGTTTAGTTATATAAATGTAAAAAAAAAAAATGGGCTGCCAAAATATTAACTAGAACTTCATGAACAAGTTGACTGGCTCCTCAAATAGTCTATTGTAATATAATATATATAAATATGATTATATTCTAAGTTTACTACATACAATATTATAGCGAGAAATAATATATTTTAGCTAAAATGTTTTAAAAATACCTATGAAAATAAAATCGTAAATCAAAGATGACAAAAACTTTTCATTAGAAAAAAAATATGTTTCTAGTAAATATTAAGATAAAATGTTTGGGAATAAAGATTTGAGACAAAAGTTTAAGAATCATAAATCATGGTAATAATATAACATAAATTGAATATTTTCCCATAACATTCTTCCATGCGGAAACAGAAATTGAATAGCGAGAGCATAAATGAACTACATAATGGTTACTAGATTTAGAAGAAATGTTTAGGTTTGCAATTTCAAAATCAATCATTTAAAAAATATCACCCATGATCGAAAAAATAAAGAAGAAGAAGAAGAATCGACTAACTTTTTTAAAAGACATACAATATGATTTATTGTTAAGTAATAAATAAATGTATTTTTATAAATCTCAAAATCCAGATTCTCGGATTCTGAATAAATAAAACAATATACTTATTACTTATAAATTATACACCTATAATTTTAATCCTAATACTAAAATGATTGACATTTTTTGTTGTAGGTCTACGTAATTATTAACTTATTTAAGTCATAAAGTCAGAAGTAAAATTTCTCAAGTAATTGGAAATATATTTTACAATCACACATTCCTTAAAAAAAAAAAGGTATTATGATGAGTACGTATTACCTACTATATTCAATTCTAAAGTGTATATTTGTCTACACCGTAATTCAATTTGTAGGGTTTTTTGTTTTTATTTGATATCATAAAAAAATTAGTAGGTAGGTACACTATATTTAAAGGTTTTCCTTTGTTATTATTTGATATTTTTAAATAATTACTTTAAAATGTTCAAACGAATTGATTAGACTTTATCCGTATAATTAAAACTTCATAACCATATTATTATTATACACATACTAAAACTATCGACAGAAATAATAATCTTACTGAAGACTAGCTCGTGTAAAAGATAATCGCTTAAAATTGATTATATAGTGGGAGCTTTCAAATTAAAAGTTTACTAATAAAAATATATTGTTGATACATACGATCGGATTATTATTTTAAAAACAATATTAGTTATCGACAGACACTACTTATTACATTTTACTCACAGTTAAGAGTTTGATAACGCATTACATTATTTAATAGTGACTCGATAAAAATAATCTTTAAGCATTTTATTTTATTGAAAAATACCTATTAGTTTACACACATACCGATGTTAAAGCCTAAAGGTGTGTTTTACGGTTTTTCAAAATATTTTAACAATTGAAATTGATAATGCCGATTAAACTAATACATTATTTTTTAATGGACAAGAGAGCAATATAAATAATTGCGAAACAAATACTTTTGGTGCGCGTACAACATTTTTCAATATCGTTTTATTAATATGGTTCAATCACATAATATTAATCAAATGCATACATCTATTTATTATAATAGGGGACACAATTTAGAAACAATCAATCATTTTGTAAAGCGTCACAGCACTATTCAAGTATAAAATCAGTTAACATAATATGTGACGTTCCAAACATGAGCAATATCTTCACACGGTTTTTAACATTTGGTATTTATGCATTTGAATAAACCCATTATAGAAAGTAAGGTAATATTTGAATTTAAAATTATAGATGCTTTAATAATAATTATAAAACATGTTTCAAAATACAAAACGGAAGAAAAACCGAGTACGTGAGCATGTTTTTAGATAATATATCAACAATAGGGAATGCAATTCAGAGTTTATTCTATTTCGTAAGCAAATTCAAGTCACTTTTTATTTATTTTAAAATATTGTGTTTATTGATCTTAGAACAACGCATAGGTGTACGGAATAAATTGTGTTAACAACACACCTTCGAGTTTAAAGGGTTTCGTATATTTTAATCAAATTTAATAGAGTAGAGAACCCTTCAATACTGTAGTTGGTATAAATTAACTGGCAGGCTACTCAAAATTGATATCACGCGTCAGCAGTGTCAAAGTATTGCTGAAATCGATTGGTTTGAGATCTGCAACAACTGTATAATATTATGTTAAAAAAAAAAAATAAGAAAAAACAGCACGCTATTTTGATTTTTATTATTCAAAGTCACGGTGCCCATTAGTCAGTTTGAATTTAAAATTTCGTAAACGCCGCACAGCAGGACTATTATAAGACCAAAGCTATATTTATAATATTGCTTTTAACGAATTCAACAGTAATGGATTCACTAAGAACGCCTATCAAACCGCGGCCCGTCTCATTGGTTTTGGTGTGACATTTTTTTTTTTCTGCCCCCCCCCCTCCATTTAACCCCCGTCACGGTGTCACGGCTCTCGCGACCATATTGGCCACGATGGCAAAATACCAAAGTGTCCCGTTTTAATTACGGCGATTAAGTTCACTTCGGTGGCCAAACATTAATATCGGCTGGGCGGGAATGCGGGGCGCGGGTGACCAGCGCTTGGGATAAAACGCCCGATGGACGAGGTTGGGAGGGCGGGCGGTAGAAGTCATCGCCAAACAAGAAATTTGCGGGCGTCTGCAAAAGTTCTGCCCACCAAAGGAATCCGGCACGCTGGTCACGTAAAGCCTGGCTCTGCTGAAACCGAAAGTCTCTCCCATGTCGTTGTCCCCCATGAATTCAAAGTACATCCAACCGGACAATAATGAAAAACATCTATTTTCCCTGCGAAATGACCTCGTTTCCCTTTCCGCTATTTTCTTTTCCATATATGACTCGCCAAAATCAGTAAACTTCTTACCTGCCCATACATAATATCTATACGTACGGTAATAACATATGGAGACACCCACGCGAATTCATCCCTAAACGGCACTGTTGCTGGTGGTGGGCTTGCCATCGGTAATCATCCCTTTACTAAACGACCGGTTTTGGTTGAGTAAACTTACAATTGAATCAGAATAAAAAAGAAATTCTTAAAAGTTTGTACGGATCATGTAGTTGTACATTTGAGTCGCTCGGCGTACTTTTCATTTCTGATCCAAGGAAAGTATTTATTATACGTATGTATACATTTTATTGTATATATTTGATTTCATGAACATGATTCATGGTGAACCTATCCATCAATCTTCATTGAAATATTTTCTTAATATTTATACACACTTAATACAAACCAAACAATATGTTTGTCTATATTGCGTAGATAGACAATTTTTGTTCTACAATAAAGTCGTATTAAACAATTTTAAACACTACAGTTGATTTAACAATAGTTACATTTCATAATAATAATATAATTTGTACCTATATGATGTATAATATATATAATCTATATCACTAATAATTATTTTTGTATTGAACATAAAAAAATAAAATTTGTTTATTCACGGTATTAATTATCTGATATATACTTACGTTATTTACTTAGTAGTGTGCAACATGTATCTTTAATATTTCCATTCTTTTAACTATTCTTAATATCCTTTTTATATATTATTACATTAGTTGCGGAAAATCAAAAGAAAAATTTAGTATTGATTTCATATTTCCATCACATCATTAACGATATTGATTTAATGTTATTAAAAGGGTAGGTAACTAAATACATTTTTATTTTCGCAGAAAAAAACTTATACAAAATTACTTTCACTCTATAATATCACATATATATATAAAATATATAATATCTTAAATTTATGAATGAAAAGAAATAACCATTTACGAAACTGCTTATTTTTCTTTAGCTTATATCGTCAACTGAGTTTTGTAACATTCACTGAACAACATCTTAGAGATGATAAAACGTTTCAATTAAAAGGAAAAATATAATGCCTTTGAAACTATAGTAGGTACCTATATTAGATTATATAAAATAATATAAACTAAATTTAATGTTCCAGAACTCAAAATAATATTCTCAGGGTGATATAATAAATTGTTATGGTGTTTATTTCATACTTAATTCTTTTTTTAAAGAAGAAATTCAAATTTTTCTTTGCAACTTTTTTAATTACCTAACTTTACAAATTGTTTTATATTTGTAATTGGCGTTTATAAGTCTATAGGAAATTATTAAACAAGTTTCAACTTGAACTTTGAAATTAAAACAGCTGTTTAAATATTTGTTTCAAATTAGTATTACACATTTTAAGATTTTATTTTTTTTTTTGTTTAACATTTGACAAACTTATTTACTTAATTCAAAGGTATCAGTGATGAAAATTTCATAAATTAGTGCCAAGAGACGTAACTATATATAAAGTTTTAAAGTACCGTATTTATTAATATTGTTGGACTCTGTATTTCTCATGCAATTTTTATCTTTGAAACCTAATAATTTGCCAACACGCTACCTATTCGCCCAAAGGAAATGCATTTGAAAACAGATACTTATGAATTTTTAGTAACCAAATTTATTTACTGCTTGTACACACATTAATACTATTATTAAATAATATAATAACATCATTTATAAATCGCAACAACGTCATACAATTTTAAAGTCCTTTTACATATTTTAAGCTGTCAAATGTGCTGGGAAACGGATTATAGTGTCCATCACGTGCCACCGGACTTAGGCAAGGACGGATCGGTCATGCGCACACGGGCATCGAATTTAAGTTTGATCTAACATGATGGGATGTTTGTTCAAATAGTGTAAAATGAATATTACGCTAGTGTGGCGAATTTCTAATCGTCTGTCCAAACGTACGGCTTAACATAATGTTCACGGCTTGTTGAATATGTAAATTGCTCGATAGGAAACAGATTTCGTTCGGTGGATTGTTGGAATTTCGTAGATGGCAACATCTTATAGAGGGTGTATTACAACGGCGGCGCAGTAAACAAAAACGGTCTACGATGATAATAATTGTCCACCGTAGAATCCTTCAATTCGATGGTCGTAAATCGAGTTGAATATTCCGTAAATAATTTATGAATATAAATTGGACCGATTATAATATTATTATGCACAAGCGACCTACTACATAATATTATTATATTATCAAAAATTATAATGTAAACAAAATAATCTTGTAAACGTACCTACATATTTTGAATTATATATCAATTAATGTTTCAATGTAATGATTATTTGTTATTTACATCTAGTAATAATATCTTATGTTTTGCGATGTGATTTGAAAAAATGTACCTATTAATTTTCCATTAAAAAAAAAAAAAAACAATAATTACATCAATTACGTGAGAATATAAAAAAAATTAATTGTTATCAGGTAATATTATTTAATTATTATTATAACTTGTGTTAAATGAATTATTTCAAAACATTAATGTAAAAGTTACTTCGATAATATTACTTAAATTTTGAGATTAAATAAATAGTATACAGCAAAAACATAATTCTTATTCAGAGAAATAAAAGTGATTTTTATCATGAATTGACATTATGAAAGTTTCTTTTCATTAAAAAGTGTATAATCACCTCATTTTTTTTTCTAAATGATAACAATTCCTAAATAACTTTTATATTTTATGCAAATGTAAATTAAATAATTTGGATATTGGATGTATAAATGAATCATTACATTTTATACTTAAATGTAACTCTATTATATGAACTGATTCCATTTAATTGTATTCATTCTACTTTTAGTTATTATAAGATTTATATCCTATTTAATATTATGTTATAGGCAGTAAAATAATATTAAATACAATTTCAAGTAGTTTCAATAGATCCCCATACACTTTACTCAAGTAGTTAAGCAGTCAAGCTGTCATGTCCTTCTACCTAATTTTAAATGTATTTATTTTAGTGTTATTGTACCCAGATTGTAGATGTTCACGTACAGAAAAAAAGACATTATAATAAAATAATAATATTTTACTCTGTATTTTTAATAATAACTCTCTTCGCGTAATTAAAAATTAAATCAATTAATACAAAATACTATGCATAAGAGAGAATTATAGTTAAATACACAATTTATTATTTTATCATTGGTTTTTACTTTTTTGATGCAGTATAATAAAAATATTGGTGGTTTTAGTTTTTCGTTTTATATTAATTTCAATTTCAAATAAGTTTAAAAATTCTGAATATTATTTATTTTATACATTATTGGATTAAACATAAAATAAGTGTGGTAAGTTATTATACATATTATATCGAAAAACATATCATAATAATGAATTCAAATTCGTTATATTTAAAAATAAAAACAGTTGAAAAACTTATTGGATTGCGCATTTTCACGAAAAGTTTTAATGTGTAAAGTTTATTTAACGATATTAGTTTTTAAATCTTCAGAAAAACAAGTATTATAGTACAATGTTTAGTTAGTCGAATTTACTGTAAAGGTTAAGATATTATAATGTCAAGTTACTTAAGTTATACTGATAATAATTTTTTAACGATAGGTACCTAAGCGATACTTTTGTAATTTTTCATTTATGTCTGTCTAATGCTTTCAAAAGTTATAATATTATAAACCAGTCAGGTAAATACTTAACAGATTGATTAATTTGTTTAGATACGAAACTTTTCAAAAATTATTTTATTTTATTATTATTATTATAATATTTAGATAAATGAAAATAAATGAAAAATATTTGTTGATTTGATCCTTTTGTATATTAAACTCAATTTGTTTGTAACTACCCCAATTGTATTACTTTAATTTTAAACATATAAATAATTTAAAGTGTGAAACACAATTGCGTAATAATAAATAACATTTGTATACAATAACTTTATAACGTTTTTGCATGTGTCCGCTTTAGCATAAAAAACAAATCATTTTGGATTTTCCTAACAAAAAATGTTTCCTTTTAACTTCTATTACTGTTATTACGGTTAGTACAGTTAGCAGGAATAGAGATAAAAAAAAAAAAATAATTTTTATAATAGCTTTACTGATAACCTTCTAAAATGTATCATCAAAGTTGATAGCATTAATTAAATTAAATATTATATTAACAAAATATTTACAACATGTATACTTCATTTATTTCCTTTATTTTCAAAATTATAGTGTGGTATATTTTTTTTTTTTGAAAATCTACTCCACTGCGATAATACATTCAGCAGGTATTTTGAGTTTGGCAAATAAATATTTATATTCTTTTGTATTGCTCATATTGCTTAAGAAATCTATCAATATGTCTTTATATTAAACAAAGACAATAAAAAATAAATAAATAAACACGTTCGTTTAAAAGCTAATACATTTTTCGTTTTTGATCATAAGTCATAATCTAAAATGTAGGTTAATTCATAGGTTAAATTTATAATACACATTAAAACACAAACTATTATGTAGGTACCTATTCGGATAGCTAGGGTATATTGTTATTTTACAAATAATCACACATTTAAGTTTAAAGAAAGTTGTATACTTAATACATTCATGCTTTTCAAAAACACAGTGTTTATACTTTATATTTTATATTATGATAGTATATATATTTTATAGGTGAATACCTAATTTCCACGTAAATCAATGGAAAATTTATCTGAACCCCATAAATATAATGATAATAAGTTCATGAAAACCTGGAAATCCTAACAAACTATACTAAACCAAGATTATATTTCATCTATTATTTGATGGACCATTATTTCGTTTGTACAATTGTACGTGTTCACTAAGGATATCTCTAGTCGACTTAAGAACTCATTAACTGTTTCTGTGGAGGATGATCTCGAGACTCACTTTAACCCCGCGGATGGAGCACAATGATTCGTAACTAACAAGCTTAGTGTAAATCTCGTCCTGTAAAGATCACGTGGAAATTCTCT